AATGTTTATTTGTGATTTTAAATTATTTTTTTATTTTGTGTACAACAATAACAAATAGACATGTAAACTAGAAGCAGTACTTTCGATTGGTACCAAAATATATTGATTTTTATTATATTCGATTTTGAATAAATTCTGAAAAACTGATCACGCAAACTTATTTCCAGATAGTGTATTATCTTAAAGGAACGATTTTTTAAATTGTTCTTATTAAATGATGATTTATTGTCTCTTTGGAATGATTTTTTTGATCGTTCAATAAAAATGATGATTCATCGTTCTTTTGAAATGTTTTTTTAATCATTCTTAATAAACAATCGACTAAGGGATGATTTTTTAAATTGTTCTTATTGAATGATGATTTATCATCCCTTTGAGATGATTTTTTAAATTGTTCAATAAAAACGATAATTTATCGTCTCTTTAGGATGATTTTTTGATCGTTCTTATTGAATGATAATTATCATTCCAAACAGATGATTTTTTTGATCATTCTAATTAAATGATGATTTATTATCATAAAGGGACAGTTTTTTAAATTGTTCTTATGTAACAATAATTTATCATTCCTTTGGGATGATTTTTTTGATCATTCAATAAGAATGATAATTCATTATCCTTTTGTGATGATTTTTTAATCATTCTTAATGAACAATTATCCAAAGGGACAAATTTAAATCATTCTTAATGAACAATCGACTTATCATCCTAAAGGAACAATTTTTTAAATTGTCTTATTGAATGATGATTTATCGTTCCTTTGGGATGATATTTAAAACTGATTCCTTAGGACGATTTTTTAATTATTCCTATCGGATTTGCATCATCCAATTGGAACGATATTGAATCATCCTTTTTAGACAATTATTATATCATTCTATTTGGAATAATTATTTACTATCAATTGTACAATTTTTGCATTGTCCTATTAAACCAATCGGAGTTAATTTTTGACTCAACTCCAATTTATCATAAATCAGTCATAAATACAATGACTGATTTTTGACCGATTTTTGAATTTAGTCATAATTACCAATGAATGGCAAATGGTGATTTTTTTGATTTCGACTAGTGAGAAAAAAATATAAAGAAAACTAGGCATTTCTTTTTAAAAATGATCATGAATATTTTAATTGTAATAAAAGATCATATTGTTTGTTTTACAGAAATATTTAGGTTAGAAGTCAAATCGTAATATTGTTAAAAATTTCTTACAGTACTTATCTTTATAGATTGATTTAAAACTAAATAAAGTAGCTATTAAAATTGAATTTATTTTCTTATCTATTTCTGTATTTCTATAATTAAAGTATTTTTTTTTTGTTATTTTGACGATTCTAGTATATAATGCAAGATTATAACATAGGAAATATAAAAAAACCGGTACAGTTCAATTATAGAAATTACTATATTATAACATACTGGTCCTCCTATAAAGTATATAAATGTTTTTATTATAGGACCAGTACAGTATTTTATCCAAATATAATATTATAGTAATTTTAAAATGCATAATTTTTAATTTTGCATCGCACGAACCCGTGGGCTCTAGTGTGCATGCATGTATGCAAGCATTATATTACAAAGTCAGAATTTAGATGTCAGTAATTAAAAACTTAGAATAGTGACATTAATTATTGGTATTGTAATAAATCAGAAAAAAATTTTTAAAATCATTTTTTTTCTATGCTAGTCAGGTACAACACCAGAGAGTTCTTTCCCTACAGTTTTCGGCCCACACAGGCTAAGCTACATATATGGCCATCGCTTATACATAACCGTTATGCATCGCAGGCTCGCTACACTCATACTTACTCAGATATCAAGGATGCCCTGAATACTGGAGTAAGAAACTCAAAAGAGAGCATTAAAAAGGACGTAAAAAAGGATTTTGTATTGTACATTTTTGTTCTTGTGGTTAATATATTCTTTTTTGGCCTTGACGGTGTGTTCTGACTTATACCTTGACATTTCTAGTCCATTTGAAAGATTATAAATGGGTTGATAGGTACTGGAATTGTCGTCGACTTCAGCTTCGCCTACTGGTATAACCGCCGAAATGAGAGGATTATCTTTAATGCCTTTGAACACGATTCCTGTTCAGAACCTTATGTTCCGCGAGAAATGATGATTTACTGTGAGGATGTTATCAAAAAACTGAGATGAATTTTCGAGCCAAAATCTACCCATAGCTCTTATCACGTCATTGTAGGGAACCGCAGAACTGGGAAGACCACAATGGTCTAGAAGTGTGCTAAGGAAGTTGGAAAAGGGGTCATTTATGTTGATGTCCCCCCTGTAGTGAATATATTTGTTAAAGATTTTGCAAATGCTATTGGATATTCATTCGATGAGCATTATGGCTTTATTGAATTATTTAGACGGAAGTTTCTAGGAAATAGCAAGTCTGATAAGGTTAATTGTATAGAAGTACTGGTATTTGCTCTGCACTCACTTCTTGTATTATAGTTGAATATCCACCACTTTTACGTGTCCTGGCCTTCGAAAGAGGAGCTGAAAATTACAAGGCAAAAAATGGTGGCAAACAACCAGTGTTAATCCTCGACAACATAAGTAAGCTGGGCCAGAAAAATGTGGAAATGATGGAGGATCTGCAGGACCTCGCAAAACTCTATACTGGCCAGTCCAGTTGCGTCGTTGTGTTTGTCAGTAGCGAGGGAACAGTGCCACGCATGATGATGCGTAAGTATTGTATTAAATGATTTGTCTGTATTCCTTGCTGATGGCTTCTTTGCTCTACTCTAGAATGATCATCTTAGTCACACGCTGAGAAAGTTCCCATTTTCATCAGAGATCTAATTGACGAAGAGGCATTAACCTACCTCCACAAAAAACTTCACATTGAGGAAAAGGTCGCCAATCAACTCATCGAACTTTTAGGTGGCCGGATTAATGAGCTTAAGGATTATGGTAATAATATAAATGAAGGCTATAATTTTGAAGGTGAGAGAGCAATTACTATCTGGACAATGATGATGGTATTTTGCATAAACTTTATGTGAACGTTCTCATCACACTTAAATATTTGCGTTTAGATGTTCGTAAAATGGTGTTCTATTCCATCGAAAATGACTTTCATCAGGCTCAAATAATGGAGGGCGAAGTAAATCATGCCATTTGCAATGTCATCATTCAGGAGTTGGTAAAAAATGAAAAAATCGAGTATAATGCATTCATTAAGCTCGTCAACAACAAAGAAATAGCCGATAAACTGATACAAGCCAATGTTTTCTCATATAATCCGGAAAACAAATTCGTCACCTTCCAGTCTCGCGCAAAAGAAATTTTTGTGAAAGAGAATCCGGGAGGAGTTTTCTCTTACTCAAAGCAATGATAGTTATCAAATAAAATTTGCGTATACTCGCATTTTATATGTATCAGTTGCTATTTCCGGCAATAATTTATTTAAGTATTGTATATCGTGTACTTAACGATAAAATCCAATTTGTGATACAAAATAAATAGGTCACGTGACGACAGAGTTTTCTTTCAGTTATAATTCTGGGTATCATACCTAGAAATCAGGATTATTTCGAGTAAGATTAATCGGGTTATTTCGTACAGCCATTTCGAAGCTCTGCCAACAAATTCGAACGATACTGGATAAGAACCTGTGACTTTCACGTGATACTGCGCCAAATGTATAATTATAATAAAGCATTTATTTGTCCAATAGGGCTTACATTTTGCGTATGCTAATGTAATCTGCTCATCAAATAAATAAGCATATCCCCAGTATTATCTGACGCAGCGATTCAATCCGTCGAAATAATAGGTAAAATACAATTTAATATTTGATAAAGAAGACATTCAATAAAATTTAATAAATTTTAACGAAAAGAAAAAAAAATGAGTTTTAAAAAATTATCCGTGAAATAAGTAATAAATGTTTAAACCAAGAAAATAATTTCGGTACTTTAAAATCCATTTTTTAAAAATTAATAAATACATATAATATACACTTGTTAATTTCAAACTTTTTTGAAAGTTGCATTATATGCTTGAGAAAAAGCCAAAATGTGTGCAAAGAAAAATAAAAGATAAGTAATTATTTTCCATTTTATTTTTTATAACTCTTCTATTTCAAATTATTGACGTGTTTCTTGCGAGATGGCAATCCCATTCTTTGAAATAGTCCCTTTTCAGTTTTAACTTTTGAAAGTGTTCGGTGGCTTAGAATATAATCTAATGGTCGAATAAGTTTATTTCTTGCTATCTCCGAAAGCCAATAATTTAAGTGAGTCGATGAAATGGATCGAAGAATATTATATATATTTCGAGCGAAAATGTCAAAAATTACTAATATATTATACAATTTCTTGAAAATGTTCAAATCGTGTAAAAACGTTCT